AAAAAATTGTAGAGAGGAAAATATGAGCAACTTTGAATGAATTGAGCTGAATGGTGTTTCTCTAAAATTAACTTTTGTTTTCAAAGGAACTGGAAAATCTTATTTACTGAAAAAGATAGTGGCCTCCTTTCCTCCAAATGGCACTTATGTCACAGCCAGCACAGGAGTGGCAGCATGTCAGATTGGGGGCATCACCCTCCATGCTTTTGCAGGTAAAGATCCCGAGAAGAGAGAGGTTGGAAAGAATTTGGACCTGGTAGGCCACTGTCATGCCCTCTTAATTTCCCTTTTGTAGGTATTGGGTCAGGAAAGGCCCCTCTGCATCAGTGTCTTGAGCTGGCCCAGAGGCCTGGGGTTCGACAGCAATGGCTGAATTGCCGCTGTCTGATCATCGATGAGATCTCAATGGTGGAGGGGGACTTATTTGATAAACTGGAAGCGGTGGCTAGGTATGTAGAACCTTCTCTTATGGAGGTATTCCTATACTTGCATTGCTCCTAAGTAAGTGAAAACCACAGGAAACGTTGCAGACTACTAAGGAGCAATCACCTTATGGATATTAGATCAGCTGGATGACATTTAGAAGTTTGTTGAAAACAAGAATATTTCCAGAGAAAGTTTGCAATGCTTAACCACTATGCCATGTTTTTTATTTTCTGTTTTTGTTAGTTTTATTGTTGATCTACCTTGCTTATTAATGTTATGCTTTATGTTCATCACTTTAATCATATTGTACCATAGATACTCTGATTTTTTAAAAACTTTCATAAAGTGCCGAATGAGCAAGACTCAACCAATCGCTCATAAAATGACCACCTCACTGCCACAGTAACATGATGTGAGTAACTAAAAGATTGGACATCTTGTTAACTCATGAACTGGCTTAGATTCTAGCTGTGAGTCTCAGTTTTACTAACTCTTGAGTATGCTATGTAGCACTTAATATATTCTCCGGGGGTTTTTTTTAAATTACTTTTCCATCCACCCCACCAAAAGTGTCTGAAATCCCTGAAACGTTTTTCAGATTTTGGCAGGGAGTGTGTCAATGGTGTGCAAATTAACCCTTAGAGGAATTGTGGGTTTTTGCAATGTCCTGGGAGCCTGGAAGGGATCAGGACTGTAGCCAATATTGTCACTGTGCTTCTAGAGAGGGGAGGGAGGAAGGAAATAAGAGAAGAGAAAAGAAAGCCAGCTATTAGAAATGGGAGTATGGCTTAGTTTTAAGATATCCTTTCATAATTTGGTGCTTTCCCAGTTTGACTGGAAATCCTGGGATTACAGACTTCAAGCACTAAAAAAGGTTATTCTTGGATAGTGCACTCAATTTTCTTGGCCCAGAGCATTAAACAACAACAACAACAACAACAACAACAACAACAACAACAACAACAAAACCCTTCTTGAATCTTTTTCTGTTTGCTTTCTGGCTAGAGATGTTAGGAAATGTGAGGATCCATTTGGAGGAATCCAGCTTATTATCTGTGGAGACTTCTTTCAATTGCCTCCCGTTGCCAAGGACCACAGACAGCCCAAGTTCTGTTTCCAGGTTTGTTGTAGTTGCTGCTGCTGCTACTTCTAACTATGTGGTTGGTCACTAGCTGACCAGGAATGTGCTTTTATAGGCAAAGAGCTGGAGAAAGTGCATCCATCTGAACATGGAGTTGACAGAGGTTCGGAGACAGACTGACAAGGAGTTCATTTCTCTTCTGAACACTGTCCGTCTTGGCAGGTGAAATACCATCTCCTTATTCATTAGAGCCATCAGGTGGGAAAGGATGGAGGTCTGTCCTCTTGGAATGAGATAATTGAGACTTAGAATACTTCTTTTGCCATTATTCCCTAATTTTACTTCCGAATGTTGACACTTGTTACGTCTGCCAAGTTTGAATGCTAACTGAAATGTCATCATTTTCTTTTAATTTTGTCACAAAACTTCAAATGTAACATTCTTGGAATGCTGGGATCCTAAGAGAAATGTTGGCTGATATTTGTCATCAATGAAATAATTTGTAACAATTGTTACAGCAACCTTCCTGATTCATTCATTCAGCTACTCCTGTCACTAACCAGGCTGGTCAGAGTTGATAGAATTGTACTGTAACAGGCATGGAGTTAAGTGGAGTAGGAGGTTAGTGTGGAGGAATGACCTTTTTTCCCCAACAGGCAGGGAAGCACACAGGACAATTTGTCAAATAGATATATATCTAGAGTTGCTGTGATGCCAGGATTTCTATATATCCATGGATCTCCATTACAGATCTTAGCTCTTGTAATTTTAAATATCTCTACTGCAATTTGACAGATGTACAGAGGAAGTCACCAGACTGCTGACCCAAACAGTAATGCAAAAAGTGGAGAGAAATGGAATATTGGCTACACGGTTGTGTACTCACAAGGATGATGTAGAGTTCACAAATACCAAGCAGCTGCAGCAATTATCGGGTAAGTATCATACAGCAATTCCTAGTGAGGTACAGTAAGAAGCTCTTTGCTTTTAAGAAAGAAGATGAGTTCCTATTCAAGTTGTAAAAATTTAGAGCCAATTATGGGAATTATTTCATATCATATTTTTTTTATTTTGAATGAAATGGCAAAATGTGACATATTGTCCTACCAATTGTAGAGATTATAAGATTGTTGCACTTTGGGAATCTTGATGTTCAAAATATTTGTGATTGTAGATGGATAAACTGAAAGGCTTGTGGTCAGTTGCTGGAACATTACTTAGGAAGCTATTTTTTCAAACTAAAATTAGCCAAAAGTCCCCCACTCATTTGCACCCATTGGATAAATTTGGAAATTTGAAAACATACTGTGGGGCAGTTTCATAAACTAGATGCAATATTGGGTTGTCTACTCACATAATTTTTCATATGAGTCACAGAACCTCCATTTCTCAGAAATTAACCAGGTAGGTATGTTGTTTGCAAAATCTTTACTTTTCTCCTATCCTTCTCCACCTTGCTACTTTTATAGCAATTGCACTTATTTACAAATCCATTCCCAGTAGTCCCCTACCATATTATGTCTTCAAATACTTTAAAGGTCTTCATTTCTAGAGGCTGAAGCTTTAGTTTAAAGCATGCAAGTTTCCATTCCTATTTATTAATTTGATTTTTTTTAAAAAAACAAGATTAATGTTGCAGGATGTCTGAGAGGATACAAGTTTGCAACACTGCAATCAAAACTCTAGTGAATAAAATGTTACTTCTTTTCCAGGACAGCTAAGGTCTTTCAAGGCTGTTGACAGTGATCCTATGTTGGCAAAGACTCTTGATACACAATGTCCTGTGAAGAGTATGATTGAACTCAAGGAAGGTGCCCAGGTGAACAAACAAAACAGCATTGCTTGAGACAGAGGTGTTGTGGCTGCTTCTGAGACCCTTTTCTTTCTTCGCAACACATTCATACCTGGAATCAGATCTTGCAAATTGCTAGTGTCTTCTTGATTTTAACACCTATAAGCTAAGCACTTCTCTGGATGATTCCCTTACCCACAAACGGGTGGAGGATGGTTTTGTTAGCATGCAGTGGAAGTAAATCTACTTTAGAAGGTGCCATGGAAAAATCCACCAAACATTCCTGTGACTTTCCTTTTTAATAGGTGATGCTTACAAAGAATCTTGATGTTTCTCAAGGTCTGGTGAATGGGGCTCGTGGAGTTGTGATTGGATTTGAAACTGAAGGAAAAGGTTGGTTTCTGACAGGCACACTTTGGATGATCTCCTCATGGGTAGCCATGTGGTTTGGTTTCTTTTTGCAATGAAGAAAATACATTCAACTGTTAAGTTTGTAAAGCAACAGTGGCATTAATATTAATAAAAAAAATAGCAAGGAAAGCCATCACAAAAGTTATGTCACATACAGAAAAACTTCCGCCCCTCTTCCATTGACAAAGTTGTTTGAAGGTGCTGTTCCTTTCTCTTTGTCCAAAACAATTTACTATAGTTCAGTTCTAACAAACTCCAGATCAAGTCTACAGATCAAGTGTAGATTTTACATTCCAATGTAATTTTGGGCATTGTTCCTTTAGAAAAGTTTTACTATAGTCTTAGATTTCTGTGCTCTGTGCTGCAACTTCTTTGCAGAAGCAGTTCTGTTTTTGCTTCACAGATAGTTGACAATCATTCTATATAAAATGAGAAAATGTAGGAAAATACTATGGTGTATAGTAGTTTGGCATATTACCTACACAGGTAGTCCTCAACTTACAGCTGGTTACATAGCAGCCATTTGATACTTATAATCTGGTTTCAAAATTCTGATGGCTGCCTCCATCCCCCTTCGTGTCACGTGGTCACGGTTAAGGCACTTGGCAACCAGATTTATTTATGGTCATTTGCAATATCCTGCATGACTGCAATTTTGAATATTTTTTTTGTGCTAAAAATCACCTTTTACTTCTGTTTTCTGGCAAAAAGCAGTGGCTTCATTTAATGATCATGAGAGTTCATTTAACTTCAGTATTTGCTTAACCACTGCAAAATAGGTATTAAAATCAGGCATGGTTGTATGGTGTCCCACCTAAAAACATCCAAAACCTATGACCATAATTTCAGGGTAAATTATGGTTGTAAGTTGAGGACTACCTGTAACCAGCAGTAGTGACATATTGAAGTACCGAATAATAACTGTAGACTTGTGTTTTTTGCTACAGGCCTGCCCAAAGTAAGATTTCTTTGTGGCGTGACTAATATTATTGGCTTGGAAAGATGGGTTTTTAAGGGGCCAGCTGGCATTTACCTGAGTCGCCAACAGCTGCCCCTGAAGCTTGCCTGGGCCATTTCTATCCACAAGAGCCAGGTTTGTAATATATATCTTATTTTTGTTGGGAATACACAATAATAATGGTTTGTCACTGGACTTCTTTAAGTAACAGCAGAATTTTGCTTTTTGTACTAGACTCCTTATCAGTGTCAAAATCCTGGAATGTTATCAGTCAATTTGTTCTTTTTTTTGCCCGTACCTGATGGAATCCAACTTGTTTTGTCCCTATCGATGATTTATAAGACTGAGCAGACTAAAGTTGCACGCTAAATGCCAGTAAGGCACAGCTTTATCCCTAAACTTTAAAGTAGACCTAATACGAAAGAGATCATGAGGCAATCTTCATTTATTAACTACTTGTTCAGTGACAAGTTACAATGGTGAAAAAATAATTTTACAGCTCATTTATGACCTCTGCGGCATTCCTCAGTCACATGATCACCATTACAGTCCATAGGCATGGTCCTTTGCTCAATCTGGGTTTTTTTTTCCTCCCCCATCCCCACCTCACAAAGTAGATTAATTGAAGAGAAGGGGACTGGAAGAAAATAAGCTATTTGCTTTTCTAAAAGCAGTCTGATCATGTCAGTAGCCCAAGGCTGGGAACCACAGGCATACTACTCTCTAGAAATCTCTTTCCAATCTCTGTTTTGCAGGGAAAGGGGAGGAAAAAAGCAAGCAATTTCTGTAAGCAAGCTCTTCTTTGTCTGACTTTTTCCTACTGCCACTTTCTATTGAAGTGTAGAAAAGCAATGACTTATTCTCTTGAAATCTCTTTCTCTCCAATATCTCTACTTTGTGGCAGGGAATATAAATAAAGGTAGTGATTTCTGCAGCCAACCTCTCCTTTATCTGACATACCCATGCACCCACCCACATAAACACACACCTAGATAATACCATCAGTGAGAGTCAGTGTGGGTTTTCCTCCCTGTTTATGTACAGTATAGTTAGTCCTCAACTTACAAACATAATTGGGACTGGAATTTTGGTCAGAAGTTGTCATACCCATGAGTTTGGACCTATATTTTGCTGTTTTTACAGCAGTTGTTAAATCCAAATTACATAGTAATTAAGCAAAATACACGATGGTTAAGCAAATCCATTATCCCCAATTGATGGTTTGGCTGGAAACTGGCAAAAAAAAAAAAGCCATTGGAAACTGGGATGGGGTGGGGATAATAAATCATGGTTTTGGGACTGTGGGATGCTGCACCTAGTCATAAATGTGAGCCAGTTGCCAAGCACCTAACATGTAACCACATTGTAGTATCAGTGCAAAACCTTAGAGGCCATTGTATCTTCAAATGATCATTAAATGAACGATCATAAGTCAAGAACTACCTGTAGCTTGCCCTGCCAATTTTGGCGGGAAACCAAAACCTCCCCCAAAACATCATTTCCAGTAGTCAACATCCAGATAATCAGGGATTAGCGTTAAAAAAATAATAACACACTATACGATTCCCTAATCGAGGGACGGCCAAGGAGAAAACCATACCTCCACCAATACTGGCAGGGCAAGCTACTGTATGTAAACAGAGAGCAAACCTTCCCCCCACATCAGCACTAATATTACCTGGTCATATAATGAAACATCTGTGAGAAACAACCAAGTTCAGAGAGCACAAGGTCTCCAGTTATCCCAATGTTTGCAGCCCTAATATGGTAACCCCATAATACCATTTAAAGTTCTATCCCCTAATTCTGGGGTCAGCAGAAAAGTACACTGGCCTAAATTTTGCTGCCCCAATTTCTGTGGATATATATACATACTGCTACACAGTAATTACGTTGATGATTGGTGCCCTCTTTTTTTTAAATTTGGGACAAAGCAAAGAAAAATTGGTGGATTCCCCTGGTTTCTCATTCCTTGGCTTCCCTCCCTATTAAGCATTGCTCACCAGCTGGAAAATAACTAAGGACTTTTGCTAATGTGGGTTAGGACAAAGTTAGGTGAGTGTAGGCAGGTACTCAGAATGACATTAATCAGCCTCCTGTCAAACTCTCCAATTAAAAGAATGCTAAATATTCATCCCAAAATAGCCTGCATGACAGGTCACAGTCATGGAGGACAGTAAGCTAAAGGGAGAAAGAGCGGTTGAAAACGTGTGAACTTCATCCTCAGGTAATCTTGCAAGGAATGGCAGTGCCTGCTTAAAACCTGGTAAGAGCTTTAGAACAAGGGTCTCCAACCTTGGCAACTTTAAGCCTGGAGGACTTCAACTCCCAGAATTCCCAAGCCAGCTTTGGGGAATTCTGGGAGTTGAAGTCTTCCAGGCTTAAAAGTTGCCAAGGTTGGAGATCCGCTTTTGAAAGCACCAATCAGACCTCAGTAGATTTATCTGTAGATTCATCTCTTCTGCTGCTCAAGCAAAAAGAGATCATGCAAGGCAGTTCTTTATTAGAGGAGATAAATGTTGGCGGCAGCCGCTGAGCAGCTTCAGCTTCTGATCATGTCAGCAATTACTGTGTAGAATGTTAAGACAGTGTCCGTAGCAAAACTTGTGTAGGGAGAATTACTTTAAAACTGGTACTAAATAGTTTAAGATACATGACAAGTAGAATTAACTGGAACTGGAAATAAGTCAAGATCTTAAGGATACAGACATTAAAAAAAATAGTTACTGACATATTTGTGCTGCGGTCAGAATACAGCAAGCTCATACTTGTAATTCTGTTTACTTAATATTTTCCCATTATTATTCCAAAGATAAACCTGAGATATACATCCTAGCAGATGACGTATCTACACACTTCCATATGCATTTAACCGTTGGTGTTGCTAGCTTAGTCTTGTCTACTAATGACTTTCAATCTTCACTTATTTCTTTTTCTAGGGTATGTCTTTAGACTGCGCTGAGGTTTCTCTAGCTCGCGTCTTTGAAAGTGGGCAGGCATATGTAGCACTTTCTCGAGCTCGTAGTCTGGCAAGTCTTCGAGTTTTGGATTTTGAAGCCAAGGTAGTCAGAGCTAATCCATGCGTATTGCGATTTTATAAGGAGCTGAAGAGAGACCAATTTTTAAATCAGGTAATTTGTCATTAGGCTATTCCCGAGTAGTACAATTTGGAGACAATACATTCCTATACAGGCTGGATACATGGGGGTGGGTGAGAATTAGAGGAGACTAGAGGAAGGCCCTTAACCGATTAGTGGCATTACTGAGGTTTCTGGGTAGAACAGTCCCAAACTCTTGAACAAATATTTTTTGTTTGTAGTTCTGTTTTTGCAAAAGGTATTTTCCATTTGCCCTCATCATCATTAATAAATTACAGGCCACAACTTTACTACTAAAAAAAAGTTTTAACAGATCAAAGTAGATCTTAGTATAAGGGGCTGAACAGAATAAGTATGTGTTTAATAACTTGACACTGACTTTGTTTGCTTTTATTTAGGCCTCTTTGCATTCCTATATTCATGCTGATAAAGAAAATGAAATAGTTAAAGGAACATTTACAGGTTGAGAATCCCTGGTACAATTTTTTTAATTAATTTACTTTTGGAACAACTGCTGCTACAAATTCAGTATTTTATAAAGTATTGGAGCACCGTGAAGAAGAGAAGAATTATATGAGACATCGTTTTCTATAAACATGGACAGTCCATCTGCCTAAAATGAACACTGAATTTTTAACCCAAATCATTCTGCTTCTGAGTTTGCACTGACAGAATTTAAAAATTACTTAAAGCCACCTTGACAGAATAGTCAAACTCGTCTAGGATATTTACTTCAAATAGCACTTACACTGTGTGTATAGTAAGTATTTGACATTACTGAATAAAACTTTAAGGACTAATATTACTTCTTTAATAAACCAAATAAGATTTTACTTAATGGTTGTAAGTGTATGATTGATATTTCTCTACCCTAGACTATTTTGCTTCTCTTTTAATGTACCAATTTTGAGAAAGGTCTTAGATTTTTTTTAAATGAAGAGAACTTTCATTTTCTTTGTACTATACAGTATTGTATGCAATATAGCTTCTCAAGTTTAAAAGAAAGCTAACCAGATAAGAATGATCTGCATCACATCCTAGAGTCTACAAAGAGATTTTTCTGCATGCATTGTGTTGCCATTTCAGCAATAGAATTTGTTCCCTTAGCAGAATTTGAAACAAATTCATCCAAACAAATTCAATCAAGAGCCGTGGTGACACAGTGGTGAGACTGCAGTACTGCAGGCTACTTCTGCTGACTGCTGATTGCCAGCAGTTCATCAGTTCAAGTCCCACCGGCTCAAGGTTGACGCAGCCTCCCATCCTTCTGAGGTCAGTAAAATGAGGACCCAGATTGTTGGGAGCAATATGCTGGCTCTGTAAACTGCTTAGAGAGGGCTGTAAAAGCACTGTGAAGCGGTATATAACTCTAAGTGTTATTGCTAATTTACAATCTAAACACCTTTTGAAGGAAAATTAAATTTGCTACTTAAATAACATTGCATATACTTGTTAAAATGCACTCTCTTCTACATGTACAGCAAGCAATGCTAGATGAGATTTTCTGTTAACTATTTTAAGAAAATAATGCTATAGTCTAGTGGTTAAGGCACCAAGCTAGAAAGCGGGAGATCGTGAATTCTAGTCTTACCTGAACCATGAAAGCCAGCTGGGTGACTTTCACTCTCAATCATTGTCTCTCAGCCCAACCCACCTTACGGGGTTGTTGCAGTGAGGAAAATAGGAGGAAGGGGTATTGGGTATGTTTGGTGCCTTATTTGTAAAATAAGATGGGATACAAGTAAATAAATAAAAATATTACTTTTATATTGTATTGAAAGTATTACAGAGCTACACTTACATTAATTATTTCCTATTTATGATCTGCAGACCAATCAAGCTACTGCAGGTTGACAATACTGCAGACATCAGGTTACATGAGATTTTGAAGTTTCCACTCAATTTGGAATTATCTTGTTTTTATGAAGTGATTGCATGAAATAAGAAACCAGAAATTTAACAGGAATTTTGCCTCACCATCAGCTAACAGAAGTTAATTATTCAAAGTGATCTTGAAGTAAAGGAACTTGGCCAATTATACATAAAGGAGCATCAGACATGATATTCTTCCGATTAAAATCGGAATTCCGATTTTTTTGGGAATCGCCGCGAGCGGAGCCCGGGCGGTACGAGCGGAGCCCGGGCGGGCGGTGCGAGCGGAGGCCACTGAGCGGCAGGAAAAGGGAGCTGGGCAGCGATTTCTTGGCGCGCGGTGGGGGGTCTCTTTTGGCCGGCCCCGATTTTTTTTTCAGAGGGGAATATCATGCCTGGGAGCATGCAATCTTTTTCATAGTAGTAAAAAAAACATTTCAGCTCTTATACTGCAGAAACACTTTAATAACGCTGATTGCATTTGACACCTCAGGAAGAATCCATATCCTGACAACAAAGATGCATAGTCGGAACATTAATTATGTAAGCACAAACTTTCTAAGATGAGACTGATTTCCTAGTAATAACCAGTAAACTTCAGGATTTTTGGAAGAAAAATTCTAAACGGTCACATATATCATTGATTTAAAAATACAAAGTAGACATATTGACAAGTCCAATGCTAAACACTGAACAAAATTAAGGGACCATGCTTGGCCAAAATATGACAGTTGTTTTTCCACTCTTCATGACATGTAATAAAATAAGTCTTCAATCCAAAATCTCTTTTTTGTGTGCTAGAATATCCAAAGGAAACCAAAATGAATTCAATGGGCAAATACCCAGTGTCTTCCAATCTGTGGAAGATGTTGATGCTGTCACACTTATAGAAGAAGCACTACAGCTAGTATCCCCTTTTTCTTGTGAAAAGCTATTTCCGACTGATGGTACATTATAAAATGTTTCAGGAAGATCTTCACTGTTGTTTACAAGAGGACTGATCTTTGCTTTCCTTGTATTTTTTTCATTCTTATAGTGTGCACTTAAATCAATGTAGCACTTATACATATGTCCCTTAAGTTTCTTATAATCCAGATGACTCAGTTCTTCTGGTAATGACAAGAGCAGATCTAGTAGAACAGCTGACTCTGCAGGAAGCAAAACATAATTAGTGACTGGGAAGTAATTCATGCTGTATTTTATTTTCTAATTGACATTTTCACAAGTTTATACTTCCTATACTTCCCCAAAAGGTCTAGCAAAATAGTTGTCATTGTTCACTCTTTCCTGCATCATCTTATTTGAATTTAATTATCTCCAAGTCTTAGAGATTTCTGGCAATTACTAACATGCTTTTTGTATGAAAAGCTAAATGAAAACTGGTCATTACAATAACATCTATAATTTCCCTATTATATATGTAGAAGATTCTCTTAACTCACTTCTCATTCCTATTTTCACATGGAGAAATTTGCATTTGAAAATTTTTCCTACTCTAAAATCTCAACCATTGTTCCATAAACATTGCTAATAAACAAGCACGTTTTATTTTGATCTCATGAGGAATAACTGGAACTTTAAACAAGCCTTTCCTTCATTTATCATCCTAAAAGTACAAAAGTAGGTGGCCCACAGAGCTGGCCCTAGCATATTGGATGGGAAATTATTTTAAAACATTGCAGTACAGACTACATGTTTCATAACTGCTCTTTTGTTTACTATAGTTTAGAATGGATAATTTTTCTGCAGAATGCATTGTAGGTGGAGCCTTTATGGACTTCCATTTTTTTTGTATCTCTATACAACTGGGAAACTAGGGAACTGCTTTATTTTAAATTTCTGCTGATTCCTATAGTGAAAATTTTGCAACTGTAAAGTAAAATAACTATTGAGTTTGTAAGTTTATATATGTGTTTAATTCACACCAACAACACAACCAAAATCTCAAATGCTTATCCAACTGCCATATTCTTGCTTCCTTCACTGTAAATGCTACTCGTTTTTATAGCTTTCACACATCAATATTGCAATTAAAAATATAAAGTATCTCTCACCAGTGTCACACTTGGAACAAACAAGCTTTCAGGGATCCTTGGTGCTCCCAGCTTGGTAGTTTTTCTTCAGGTAATTCATTACCCAAATTAGGTGACATCACCAGTGCTAATATTTCCCTTGTCAATGTTAATGGATGTTGTCTTGGAGGTTCTACTGCCCTAATCAAGAACTGCCAAACAAGGTATCAGTAAACAGTCCAACCAAATGCCACTGGGAACAGCAGAACCTCCAAGACCGCTCCCATTAACACCAATAGGGCAAATGCTAATAACAGATAACCAGAGTTGGAAGGGACCTTGTAGGTCATCTAGTCCATCCCCCTGCCCAAGTGGGAGACCCTACACCATTTCTGACAAATGGCACACCATTTCTGACAAACGATGATGTTACGCAGTTTGGGTAATGAAATGTCTAGATAAAAACTACCAAGCTCAGAGAGCATCAAGATCCCTGATTTCAACCCTGAGCTACAAATATTCTCCTTTATTGGTAAGTAAGCTTTCAAATGTACTGAAAATCTTGGAGACAGTTCAAGATGTTCTTTCCAGTTCTAAGGCTTTTTCATTCCCTGCAGCTTCTATGCAACTTAAGAGTCTTCCCTTCAATAAGAACCCAGAACAGTTTACGAAAATGAAATTTATAATAAAGAACATGATATTAAAAAGTAGATATAAGAGCAACTAAGATTTAAAGATAGAGTAAATAAAACAATTACTGCCACCCACACAAAAAATAGATATAACTCCAGATGCAAGAATAGTTCATCTTATCTTTTCATCTTGGTCTAAATCCTGACTTACCACCAGGTGGTAGTTCTGGTGCTTTAGATCCCCGTGAGATTACTGAAAGATACTTGTATATTTTTTCAAAGTCCACATGTAATTCACCATTTTCTGCAGGGGTCAACTGTTCTATATTTGATGATATAGTTGCTTCCTCAGATTCTGTATTGGATTTCATATTCTTGCTAGGAACAGCTGGGGTCATGCATTGAGCAGCATTTACTTCTACAGGCTTTGGTGGCACAGAGTGAAGCAAAGAGAGTGGTTCCGCAGATGCAATTGTTAAAACCTAATTAAGGTAATCAGAAGAAAAAATATCCAGTAACTCGAGTGCCAGAAAACAGAAATTCTCTACAGAGTATATTTTCAACTATTGCATCTCTGCTTGGAAAGATGAAAATCAAAGGATTGAATAGCTGTAGTTAGCAATGGTAGAGATGGTTGTTTCAAGAGAACATTTGCATATTCAAACCTTAAAATCTCTGAAATTATTATATTCATAGAAATATTTATCTTAATAAGATGTCATGGAGAGGATATCACTATTACCTGGGAAAAAGCAGCTGTTACTGCATCCTCAAGGCAACCTGTTAACTTCTTAGCTAAATGAATCCATACCTGGAATAGAGAGTATGACACAATAAATGAGTATCTTTTAGCCTACTTGTCTTATTTCTGAAGCCATACTTTTAACAATTTCAGACCTCTATAGGTGCTGGAACTGGGGCATCCTTCTCTTTGCATTGGCGATATCGATACCGTGCCTTGACTGCTTCCCTTGCCACACGTTCTTTCAGGAGGTCTACAAATGCTAAGATCTGCAAAATATCACACATGAATGTTTAGAAGAAGGCATATTCTACTCTTAAACCAGCATTGAAAATGGTTATTTTCAGAAAAAAATGCAGTTTATTCCTGTGCAAAAGAGAAATGTTACAATCAAAGCAGAATCATTTTGTTTTCTGTGACGTTGTGCTTTGTCAGTCATAGGAATAGTTATATCCAACCCACTTCATGAAAGCCCCCAACTGTAAGTTTTTCTGATTGCACGAACAAATTGAGACATCTACTGAACTTTACATTTTCAAAAATGGAGAACTAGAGTCACTCATTAATGAAAATTCTTTAGCCACAAACACTAAGTGAATCTTAACAGCTGTGATGGCATACTGTTTAGAATGTATTTCAGGCAAACTCTGCCCACTGCCAGGAGTTCAATCGTGACTGGCTCAAGGTTGACTCAGCCTTCCATCCTTTCGAAGTCAGTAAAATGAGGACCCAGATTGTTGGGGGCAATATGCTGACTCAGTCTATAAGTCTATTGCTAAGTTTAACACTCAGGAGAATCTGATCCAGAGATTTTCAAACTGTTTCAGGCTATGAAACCTGCTAGTTAAACAAACTGGAACACCTTATTAAGAGACAAGATTTTACTAATAGAAAGCTGGTTGTATTCAAGTATCTTTTCTTTTATGTACACTGAGAGCATTTGCACCAAGACAAATTCACACTTGGCCAATAAAGAATTCTATTCTATTCTCTTTTTTTTTTGCCTTTTTTACCTCATGGAACCCATTTCATGGATATTTTGGACCTGAGAAATAATTAGTCCAAAGTCGTATCTCAGAATTGTAATTTTGAGGATTAAAATATGGGGAGACTTCATGTATGCTATTTGACTTCTTTGGCAGAAAGGCTAGATGGAAATGTAATAAAAATACACACTAATAGGAAGGCAAACATTTTTCTATTAACAGACAGTTCTGCTTTGATTTAAATTTGGCTTGATGATGAATTCTTAAACATGGAAAAACTTATTCATAGCCGTGCCATTTCTTTAGACATAAGAAAGTATTGCTGTTTGACATTTAGACTTCTTTTACAATTCAAGAGTTATGTTTTACCATTCAAAAGCTATACATTCAGCAGGCTACATATATGCAAGATAAACTCTTAGTGTATGTTCCACATTCTTTATCACAGAGACAAGGGTTTGTAGTTATTTCTTCTCCTCTTTGTTTTCAAAAGCTTGGGACACTTCCATTTCATCTTTAAATGTCCTGTTTGCATCACTCAAAGGCATTCGCCTTCCACTTTCAAACCCACTTCACAATTAGAAATATATTAAGTTCCCATCTTCAGGCTAGATCACTGCTATTATTTATCTCGTATTTGGGCAGCTGAAATTCAAAATGGCCCATGTTAAAATGAAAGATAATGTCCAGATTAAACAGTGACTAGGATAACCCAAAACAGTTTCAACCCGTAACAGTAAGTAATTACCTATAGCACATAGTATACATTCTAGCACAAATTCTTCAGATATTCCTGTCTTTCGTGTTAGGAGGATCCCACCGAAGCCTTTTAAGTCATCCCAACCCACAGACTGCGCCTATAAACCCACCTCATCCTCATTTCTCGAAGGCAAATATTTCTTCAGCTGTTCCGGCCGCAGCGGGCCCGGAGTCTGGGCTTGAGCTCTCAAAGCTTGGAGAAGACGTCGCTTTTCTCGATCCGTCCAAACCCGGACTGCGGGGTCCAGGCGGAAGCGAGCGGGCGCCGATCGCAGCCTCGACGGGGGCTTCATAGCTCTCCACCCAGAAAAGCCCAGGCGCTAAACTAAGAAAAAGCCGGCGCGTGGGGGGGGGACAGCGCCTTCGCGTTCCCGCGCAACGAATTTCGCCGCCCCCTTCCTTACTCCTCCCGCCCACAGTTTCGCAGCCCGCGGGGCTCAAGACCGCATTTCGTTACACAAACACCTCGCCAAGGTATGATTTCCAAGACTCGCTTTCTGATGACGTAGGCAGCTTACGCAACCACCGGCGACCGGAAGGAGGAGAGGGGGCTGGTGACGTAGCCGACGCTTCCAAAGGAGGGGCGGGGCCGGTAAGCGGTCGGGGAGTCACAGAAGGCTTGCGTACCAATGCCTTTCCTCCCTCTCGTTACCATGGGGATAGAGTGGGAACGCCCTCCGTCGCGGAGCAAATTGTCCTCGAGTCTGGCTACATGTCCATGTCAGGTCGAGGGGTTGGAGTTGCTTTGGGTGTCATAATCCTCTTTCTTTGGGAGAGGCCTGGTATGGAGATAGATTGCAGTGAGGTGGCCGGTCCTAGAAGGGTGGGAGCTTCAACCATTGGAAGTTTTCAAGAAGACACTGGACTGCCATCTGTCAGAAATGGTGTAGGGTCTCCTGCTTAGGTGGGGGTTGGACTAGATAACCCACAAGGTCCCTTCCAACTCTTGTTATTTCTGTTATTCTGGTTCCCATTGCTTGGAGGCTGGGATTCTGTCTGTGGGATGTAGAACGCCTTGAATAGGACAAGACTTTGATACATGCAACTATGTAGGGCTATTGTGTCGTAAAGATGAGGTAGCTCTAGGCAAAAGATTGAAAGTCCAGCTTTCCCCATGACGGTGCCTTCATACTGATGAGCAATATTTATCAGTAATTTATTCTGTTTGTTGGGAACATTAAAAAAACAATTTGACTTGGCCATTAACAGATGAAATAATAGTCCAACGCTCATCTTGGCTCGCAGGCAAAATGACTGTCTGTACTATTTCATGAAAAACTTAAGTTTGGGGGAAGTCAGATGTAAATGATTAATTTTATTTAGCAGCTTAAAGCCCATCAAGTGAAGGGAAGGGCAAATGGTGGGAGGTGAGAAGAATAAACAGGAGGTAGATGCTAATAGGAGAATGCTAATGGTTTACTGAAGTAAATATTCACTCAGCCATGTTTTGAGCAAGTCTCTAAGACATAACATGCGTACATACTTTGTATAAGGACAATATATTTGTAGTCCATTCAGTGAACATTTAGAAATTTGACAGCTACCCAGTTATACAAATACCCATCTCGATATTTTCAATTTTAAGAGCACGGGAGTTCATATTTCTTGGCAAATAATGATTATAGTTGTGTTACCATCCCTTCTGCTTTAAAAGACACTTAAATTGGGTACAAAAATATCGCCCAAACTAAATATTATTTGTTGATTTATAGGTTCCCTATGCCATAATAGTGAAAATTATAAGCACAAACTTCCTAGTCAAGAAAATGCTTATAAAGTTATCTTTGAATATTAATAGCTTGAGATGGATAGACTCATAATCCAAAGAAATCCCACTTTAGATACTCTGATTTACATGGGGGAGGGGGAATAAAAGGTTGGTTATATGAGATCACAGTTATACTTGACAACACCTGTGAACTCAGTAACTATATTTCAGATCTGTTCATTCCTCTCAGTTTTCTTAATACACATGTTGCTACTTACAGTACATATTGCTATTAGTTTCAGTGAGCCACTGAAACTAATAGCAAACAATGGATTGAAGAATGCAGGAAGGCAGTAGTGGAAGCAGTACAGTAAGTGCACTGATTGTGATTTGGCCACCTGATTATGAGGAAGCTGTGGTGAGTTCAACTAGCCGTGAATCCTGATTTGAGGCTCTCTGTATTAAAACGAGGCCAACTGTAATGAATATATAGGTTGTTATGAAACTGTGAGTGAGAATTCCTTATAAAATCAGGTTATGATCCAAAGATCTGATAATATATTCTCCTTTACTTTTACCTTACTCTTTGTTGCTAGATAGGAGCTAGCTTTCTGGAGTTTCAGTGAACCATTATACTGGAAAAGGCAGCTTTGTAAACGAAAGAAAAATACTTTGCACATAAAATAATTTCCACAGCAGCTTGCTGAGGTTTTACCTTGTTTTTCAGGCTGTGCACTCTTTCGTGATTTGGACAAGTCTGATAATGAAACGTCTTCAGGGCAAGCACCTATTGAAGAGAAAGAGACAGGTAAAAATTAATAAAGTTGAACTTCACTTTTCCAGGAAGACTTTGAGATCTCTAACAATAGATGGGGGTATTTAGCTTTTTCACATGTCTAACCCCTGGATATTAAAGTCTTAAATGTCTAGTCATGGCATCATGTTCTGTCCAACTGATCTAGTCATAAATATACATATTATTTAGAACTATACATTAATACAGCTGAAGAACCTTTCATCCTACTCTCTTAGGACTGTACTTCACTTTCATTTCTTTCAGAACTCACATTTGTCCACATTGGTGCCAAGGAATTCACTCTACCATGCAAGCCTGAGAAAACAGATGTTGTGATTGGTATGAATCCTACCTACAACTGGAACCTGGAAAATGGAGGTTAGGCTTTGTTGCTCAGGGCTTTCTTGTGGAGGTATATATGAATATGTTCTGGCTTTCAAAGCTTCTTTAGATCACTCTGCCTCAGATTTTTGGAGAGCTGAATTCAAATACTTTATAAATATTTTATAATAGGAATAAATTCCAAGTGCCTGCCAGACCTGCCCCAGTCTGATCTCCTAGGGAAGTAAAACTCTCAACTCCATTTGCTTGAAGTGAAAAGGCACTTTTGCTAAGAGATGCTGATTGAAGTAGAGCCAAGCAGAATCTAAAGTTCCTGTGCACCAATACAGGACTAACCCCTTGGTTCCTCTTAGCCCTCCCCCCATGGTCTGTCTGTGTGTAGCCAATCTGGCATCGCTGAGATGTTTTGGGAAATGCTGAAGTTGTTTGGGCTGGTAAAATTTCACTCTCATGGTAAACTGCCTTGAAGATGCCATCATGCCTTCACAAACTGGATTTCAAAACACTCTGTTCTTCAACTGTCAATTGTTTCCCATCAATAAGTTATACAGCTTTATTGCCCATTTGTTTCTCTGTCCCTTCCCTGATTGATGGCAGAATGCCAGCAAGGCGCCAAGCTGAAACTGGTGGATCTGAGAGTGCCTTGCATGTAGCTAAACCTAAGAGCAGCGGTAGATAAGTTGGTGTCCTTCAGATGTTTGGGTGTGCAACTCTTAAAATATCTGATGGTTGGTCATCCTCGTTAGGACTTTTGGACTTCAGAATGTCTGGAGGATTCTTTTTTAAGACTGTTAAAAGATTTGAACTTGCTAAATTAAATTAGAATATAAAATTATTTCCTATTCCAGTTTAACAAGTTATTAAAAATTGACTCTAAATACAAATTACAAATGGCATTACACAACCTGAAAACTATATTATTAAATTGGCTTTTTGTTTGTAGTTGGTTTCCAACTTAATATTATTTCTGGATAATACCCACTTAGTTACTCAATCTGGACAAAGGTTTTTAAGGAGATGGAAATATTGCACAACAACCTTTAGTATTATTTCTAGTTTTATTTTTTGTAAAATGTGCAACGTAATAATTTACTGCCCATTTATTGTAACAAAAGATATGAGTTCACTATCAGCTTTCCACAAGAAAACAAATAAATAGACATTCAAGGATAAATTCAGATAAGTAGATTTACTGTAATAGTTATGAAAGAATTCCTACAATTGCTGTGTATTAAATGAGAACCTTATTTATGGTGCATTCAAAGTTCAAATATACTTGTAATATAATGCATTAGAAGCTATTCTCTTTGGATGGAAGTGATGGTTTCTGTCTGTCTCTTATTCTGATAGTAGGTGGATCAGGTACCAGGCTGTTCACTTGTATTGTATAACTTGGTCTCACATATTCTTTTTTAATTTGCATCAGTACATTTTAAAAGTGTGGATTATAACATTGGCTGAAAAACTAAATACAAGAAAGGATTTTGAAAAATTATTTAAAATTTGCTATTTTTACAATTGGCTTCAAATGTTTAGTTATATTAATAAAGTAATTCCCAACAGATCATCTTCTTCTATATGCCTCTTTTTTCTGAGCAGAAATATGGAATGTAGATGTTTAAAATGTTGTATCTTTCCAAAATATTACAAATGTACAACTGCAAATATCTCTGAAATCATTTATTGTATTACGTTGTATTCTTCATGATATTCCTTTCAAAGTGTTGTTAATGTGTTGCTTGTATAAATATATAACTTTAAATACCTGGAGGGCACATAGTTTACTTCTTCCTTAGGCAAAAGCACAAGTGTATAATCTTTGATTTGCTAATAGTTATGTGTGTCTGAATGTGCACACAGAGAGAGATGGAAATACAGTCTAGAGAAAGAAATTTAGCTTGTCAAGCCAATTTTTCCTCCTGGATCCAAATCTTAAGAATTGGCAGTGATGGTAGTGCTGTAATTACACTGATGGCTTACTAATGGGCTGCCCTCCCAGATGCTACTGATTGCAGACCAATATTGGTCGACTCTAAGGTAAGGAGGATTGAGACAGTGAGGCAGGTAGATATATATGTGGGCTACAAAAACATTATACAAAATAGAATAGAATAGAACAGAACAGAACAGAATAGAATAGAATACTTTATTGGCCAAGTATGATTGGACAACAAGGAATTGTATTGGTGTAAATACTCTCAGTATATATAAAAGAAAAGATACATTCGTCAGGAATCATAAGGTACATACTTAATGATAGTCAGAGGGTACAATAAGCAATCAATCATACTAGGAAACAGTCAATATAAATCATAAGTATACAAGCGACAAAATTACAGTCATACAATCACAAGTGGGAGTGGATGGGTGGTAACGAATGATGACAAGATTAACAGTAACAGTAGTGCAGACTTTGTAATAGTTGAACAGGGTTGAGGGAATTACTTGTTTAGCAGTGATGGCACTAAGATGCAGAAAATTCTAACTCTGCTGTCATTTAGTGGTCCTCCAGATTTTTGTAGTTCAGGTAGTCCTAATTATTTGACTCTTATCCAACTACAAACATACAATTTTAGTCCCCTAAGACAAATCTGCAAGTGTGCTTTTCAACTTCCCAGGTAAAAAGCCAAGCTGATCAGAATTCTAATTTTAATAATAATTTCTCTATATTTTTCTAGGCATTTCAATAGATTAGGCTCATTTTTCTAGTATCTATTTTATAAAGCAGAAAATATTGGAACAACTGCTTTAAATGACATTACTGAGTGTAACAATGCATTGACATAGCTATTTTTTTCTATTTAATTGAGACACATACATTTTTATATCTTTAAGGCCCTTGACTGGAAAATAATAATTGGAGTAAGTCATGAGAAAACCTAATATTTCCAAGCATGTAATTTAATTATATGATTAATGATATATTTAATTTTAAAATTTGAAGTACAGAAGGTACATTTTTAGTAAAGGCATGATATGAAAAAGGTAGGTTAATAACTGATTTTATGTGGGATAGTCATAGGTTTCAAGGTTTCATGAACTGGGCAATCAGAAGATTCATTTCCAAAAGAATTGTTAAATGGTTTTGGAAGTGGGTTATGAGTTCCTACATTATGAAATTTTAATATTGTAAGCTGTCGGCTTACTGTATGTGATTTGAGCAGCCATAACAAATGAATAAGTAAAATTTCTAGTTCAGTGCAGGTGCTTTGTTTAATTGACTAAGATAAAGTTGCCATTCTCGAATGATTTGACTTTATTGTCTGCTTTCCAGAAAACCTAACTCTCCATTCTGGTGCCTCCCTGATTTTGCATGAATTTCGTGCTGAGGAGAGTGGGCGCTATACCTGTTCCATCTCTTTCACAGAGGAAGACCAGCTCCATACTATAAGTTTCTCTCATACGGTGGTGGGTGAGTATATCTCTGCTGTTATGAAGGATAGCTAAACAATAGGAAACCAATGCTATGGATGCTTGATAAGAGAACAACATTTGATTTGATTTATTTGATTATGTGGAGAGATTGTGGAAGAAAATGTTTTTCAGAAACAAGTGTGAAGAAAACAGCTTTCCCATGACTGGATCCTCTAGTCGCATGCCAACATACCTTTTCAATTTTCTAATAATTCATTATTGTTTCCAGAATTTGGAATCTGATCTTTTCTTCCTGATTGCTACGATGTGGCACCTTCACTATCCTTATAGTGGAAATTAAATTTCATTTTGTTCCTTTTCTCAGGGTATCACATACGTGGAGAATTACAGGTCCTCCTGATTTTTCAGAGCAACTCATGTGATAAGTCACTAACACGTGAGTTTGTGAGGAGTCTACACAGACAGCTGAGTCAATTGGTGTCCCACCTACATTGTGAGCTCCTTTCTGGGAGCACCACTTGCTTTCCTACTGTGGAGCAGCCTTTGGATGAGTTCAACCTCCAAGTAGAGCTAAAAGGTCAGAGCCAAAAAGGAATATAAAATAAAATCAGATAAAATCAGAAAGATAGATTTCGGTTGTACTTTGGGGAGAAAGTGAAGTTTAGCCTGGGAAAGATTCATGGAGAAAAGAATATTTTTCTATTTTAAGTTTGGCTTTCAAATTTTCAGAGGTAAAGTTTCCCTGAAATCACTATCTATTGCTCATAATAAATTTTGGATAAAGAATTGTTTTCTTGGAGTGGTGGAAAAGCTCTTGTTTGAGGGCTAGGACTATTATATAAATATATTATGAAGTAGACAACTGTCTAAAGTTTAGCCACTGTAGTTTTCATGCTGCATGCAAACTGGGGGAAAGCATGTAGTATACTATCAATTGACTTTAGAAAGCACTTCTCCAAAGAGCCTAGAACATTGTCCAAAAAAAGATTGTGATGAAAATGTTTTGTGTATTATTATTTTGCAGTATTTCAGGGTGTTTGGATTCTGTGTGTGGTGTAAAAAAAGAGAATCTAGTGGTTAGAACAGATCACAAGAACAGTAATGTATTTTTGTTTTCCAGTAACTCCATTTGGAAAGGACTGGGATAAATCCTGCTACCCTCAGACTGATTCAATGCCATTAGAATGTTACCACTCAGCAGTCCAGAAAAATCTACAGGAGGTTTGTAATATGTCCCACTAGGAAATGACTTTTGGAGCTAGTTACATTTTCACCAAATGCCTGCTAGGAAGCTTGTCTTTCAAAAGGCAACAAGAGGTTTCATGTACTTGGATCAACCACATCTGGCAAAGGTTAACAGGATGCATGGCTTTATTATTCTGCTCTTGTCACTACACTTACACCTAATCAGAATCTGTGAATATGCATTTTGCATCCTCAAACTAATAGTTAATACTTAATTGATCTATGATGGTGGGGCTATTTACCGTGGGGTGGGAATCAAGAACATCAAACAACAAGCCTATTGAAGAAGTTGATGCATGCTTTTATCCATAAGACATTTAGTATACAATTAACTAAGTTTTGCCTACTCATTTTAATGGAATATACATGACATTAACAGCAATTGCTGACCTCCTAAATTTCCTGTTCGCTTATTTTTTTACTCTTTTTTCAGTTACTCACAAATGTACACACACACTCATAGGAAAAGTGGTTATCTATTTCACTTTGGAGCTCCAAAAGTTTTCTTTTCTTGACCCATTGCTCTACAGGCCAAGGAAGCCATGACTGAATTTATGGATAAGAATAAAAACTTTTCTCTGGAAACATCAAATGGTTCGCATGTTTCTTTTGTCAACACCTTTTTCAATTTCTTAGAAGATGGAAAGTGCCAAGAAGGTTATGGACAGACACAGGAGCTACAGTCATACTGTCCCGACTGCTGTAGTGAGTTAAGCAGGTGATCCAAAAGCTACTGCCTCATCTGTCTTCAGACAACACTGTCTTTGGTCTATAAACTTCTGTTTCTCTCTGTGCTGTGGGAATGTCTTTTACCCATTCTGTTCCCATCCATTTGTCTTGTCTTTTTCATATAATGTTTTCTGTAGCTCTGTCAGGTGTATATTGGAACCCATGCAGATTCTGTCCAAATATAGGGACTTACTTATTTATTAGCCTGTACTGCATATGATTCCTCCAAATCAATAAATTAATAAAAAATGTTCAGAAGAGCTCAGATTTTTTAAAAAGATACTTTTGATAGGGACTGCCCTTATGTGGTCAACATTGAAATTCATCTTATCTGCACCCAACAAATTAGGTTAATGGAGACATGACATTTGTTCTTTTCACCCTTTCTTTTTTCTCTTTATCTGCCATTTTTCTGGACAGCTTTCTGCCCCCCTGGAACATACAGTGTGGCTACCACTGACAGCTGTGTTTTCTGTCCAATTGGGAGCTATAGCTTGCACTATGGGACAGTCTTTTGTATTTCATGTGACAACAATTGGCTTACCTCTCACCCTGGTGCCAGAACGTCAGCAGACTGCATGAATATGAGAGGTATGTATTAGATTGGATATTTCCTTAGGGTCCCATTTTTGGCAGCAATTATTGGCAGTCAGTTTTTGACTATTTTTTAAAATACAAATACTACCTTCAGAAGAAATTTTCAGGACTACAGCAGGAAAAGAATTCAATTTTTTTCCTCTTGTTTCAGTCATAATCATAAGCAACCCCATAGCCCTACTAACATTACTTATACTTGTTAAGAGCGCCATACTAAAAGCATAAATGTAGTTAACATGTCTTGTTTGGCTTTCCAGTGTTGTTCTTTCAATGACATAAATAGAAGGAAGTGGTGAGATATTCCATAAGTGTGTGGGTATGGTTACGGAGGTGTCTGAAAAATACAGTTTCTAAGATTCTTTTTTTTTTTTTTTTGTAATCCTGTTTCTAAATAAATACAAACATTTAGTTTATTGTCCTAGTTGCGAATCTTAACACATGGGAAGAACACTAGGTTTGGGATGGTTTATATAGTAGTAAGTGGAAATGAAAAAATAGCAGGTGAACATGTAGTTTTAGTGCTTGGTCCCAATATTTATGTATTCTAGCTTCCTGTTTTCCTTCCATATATAATAATTGGGATAGATGCTATAACTGTATAGGAGGCTTGACTTTGAGTGCTGAGAATCCCTTAAAATTATCTATTGCAATGTCCTACCCATCAGTGAATACTTCAGCTTTGACCACAACAATACAAGAGCACACAATAGATACAAACTCAAGGTAAACCGCACCAAACTTGATTGCAGGAAATACGACTTCAGCAACAGAGTGGTCAATGTCTGGAATACTCTACCTGACTCTGTGGTTTCTTCCCCAAACCCCAAAAACTTTAACCTTAGACTGTCTACTATTGACCTCACCCCTTTCCTAACAGGTCTGTAGGGGGTGTGCATAAGCGCACCAACATGCTTACCGTCCCTGTCCTATTGTTTCTTTTTTATTTGTATCCATTTCATGTATTCATAACCATGCTTATACTTATACCTGTTATCTAATACTTGCTTGACAAATAAATAAATAAAATAAAAAATAAAAATAATTTGTCTTCATATAGTTCCTCCTTCACATCGATTTTCTGTAATGATGATAGCCTTTGTTGTGCCTCCACTTGGTTGCCTCTGTCTCATTGTGATGTAAGTTCTGACTATTCTCATTTCCTATCTTATTTCATTCTTGTAAAAGTTGGTAGGCCAGATAGATTTATGAGCAATCAGTTTAAATTAATCCGTCTAAAGAAGGATTAAGATCCAGTTAAAATTATCTAATCAGACAATTTAAATATTATTACTTAAAAGCTTCTTTTAAGTTAGCAATTACAAAACAGCTTTTCAGTATATGATATTTCTCACATGCTTTGTAAAAGGTTATATACAGTGGGTTCCTAGAAAATTGAAAAAAACACAATTCATGGGAAAGAGAATGTTATTTTGGCAAAACGATGGTGTGGATGTCTTTTAGGGTTCACATGTTTCTAGTTAAATGCTTCTCTGTCCTTCTCTTGCAGCGGTTGCTATTGTTTTCGCCATCACTGGCAGAAATGCCGTTCCGCCATTAAAGTTGATGGTCAGACCAAAGTACAAGAAGAAGCTCCTGCTTCTGCTACAGTTGATGAAGAGACCAAAGTACAAGAAGAAGCTTCAGCTTCTGCTAATGACACTGCCCTTGTAGCCACTGAAGAAGGTCATTCTCTCCCCATCACTTTTTCTACTTCTGAACATCCCAAGAAGGAAGGGGACATGTCTCTACCTCCTTCCATGCAAGAACCACGGGCTCTTCCTGGGCTGGCAAATCCTAGTGCCAGAGGCCTTTTGTCATCATAGCTCTAACTTGCTTTGAATGATAATTCCCAATAAATTATTATCCAGGAAGTAGCTTTGGTCCTGCTGTTTTGCTGATAGGTTAGTCCCCACTAACCACCCTACTCAGATGTTTCATTTTCTGTGGGTTCTCTTCTGCTGGTTTTTTTTTTTTTTGCTGCTATTTTATTTCCATACCAAGAAGGTTAAAGGTTATATATTCCTTAGTAACCACAGCGCATTGTACCTTATTACACTAACATAGGCTAGCAGGCTGAATAAAATTTGAGCTGAGTGTTCATTTCTAGTATCTAATGTCAGGCTGGGTAGGTGTGGCTGGATGGTCATGTGACTGGGTGGGCATGGCCAACTTGCCATCGTTCATCACACCCAGCCCCGCCTCCTGGCCTTGGGCCTATACACAACACCTCCAGAAATGAAAGGGTTAACCAATCCTCAGTTTCCTGGTGCAAATGCCCCCTTTTCCCCACCTCCCTGCCAGTGAAAGGATGTGGAGACGCCAGCAAAGCATTTTGCTCCCATCACCAAGGAAAGTAAGACGTTGGAGGCTGAGCTTATTAAAAAGCAATATATTGTATCATAACAGCCAACATATCACACGTGAGGTGGCAGAGGCAATAAATCCCATTGATTCCTCAGGAGCAATTTACAATAAAAGCCCATTTGCACCCCCAAAATAATAAATAAATATGGTAGCAGAAGGAGAAGGGTTGACAATACTCTGTGCAGGCAATTCTGAAAGGGACTAAGCTAAAGCTGGATTAACCCCTATGGATGGCTAGGCTAATGACCAAATGTAGAGAGCATGCCTGCAACTGATTCTGTCACTGTCAGCAGCATCATGAGATTTGTGTTGAGAGAAGAGGGCAAACCATGGAACAGCTAATGACAACTTCAAGATACCTCTAGATGGCTGGAAGTACAGTGCAGATAATATTATAATGGCATGTTCCTCGAGGCATCTTTCATGGTAATAAGCCCATAGCATCTTTTAAACTGTTCAACTATTATTGTATAAAAAAAATCCCAATAATGAAAATAGACTATATCATTTCAGTGATGGCAAGATAACACTATGAAGTTCATTAGTAATGGAAGAGGAACTGTCTACTCTTAGGAGTGAATGTGTTTTCATTGTGAAAATAGTTGTAATATTTTACTATTAGATAACTGTAGGCACACAGCACTTCAAGCACTGATGAAGCTTTGAGTGAGTAATCCCTTGGAAGCAAAATTATGAATTATTATTAATTATTTCTAAGCAGTGGAACAGAGCAATCACCTTGTGATTCTACATAAGTAGGTTTTGGGGCAAGGCTGCTGGTCAAGATGAATAAGCCACACTTTGAATTTTTGCTCTGTGAAGTGTCCCCTGTCATGTATAAATCCAAATACTGAGCCATAGCAGGTTTGCTTTGTACCTGAATAGGATATGATGCAGACAATTTTATTTCACCATTCTGTATTATATATGTAATAGTAAATAGTGATTTTTCTTTCCCTCTTTCTCCTCATTCCCATCTCCTTCCTTTCTTCCCTCCTCCCTCCCTCCTTCCTTCTCTCTTTCTCCTCATTCCAATCTCCTTCTTTCTTTCCTCCCTCCCTCCTTCCTTCCTTCATTTTTCGTACTGTTTTTCAGCTATTTTCAGGCCATTTTTCTGGCTGTTTTTTGCCTGAAAACAGCCAGAAATGGCCAAAAAACCCCAGCCCATAATTGGCTGGAAAATGACCAAAAATGGCCTGAAAATGGCCCAGAAAATGCTCTGAAAATTCCTGGAAAATGGCCAAAAACAGCCTGAAAAATGGGCAGGGTCAGGGTCAGCCAGTGGTGGGATTATCCTGAACTGAGTTTGTTGAACTGAGCAGAATTTTAACAACCAGTTCGCCTGAACCAGTCTGAACAGGCTGAATCCCACCTCTGGATCATAGTTTAGAAAAAGAAAAAGCAAATGTGTAATTTTGGTATTATTTGGTAATATGCCTGAATTTCTTTTCCTAGCCATAAACAAATAAGATACCTCTGGAGCCTTCCATGTGTTGAATCATACAAGGTTGTTATTATTAAACTTATTAGAACTATAGATTCTGACATCCTTCACTGTTAGGCATCTGAGTTTAATCTACTGGCATTTCCTTTAAGCAGCATCTGTCAGCATTTTCAGAGATGTATCTATGGCAAGTGTGACTTATAACATCCAAATCAGCTTCATTCTAATCTAGAATAATAGACTATCTTCGAGTACTAATGAACTGTGTTGTATAGGGATATTCACATCACTCCAAATCCTAAATCAAAAACAGTCTAGGAAAATACACACTTTTCACATAGCTATCATCTGGGTAAATGTCCTGTGCATAAGTATTATAAAAGTAGACATACACAAGTGATGCAACCATGAATAGCCATAAATCTGAGGTCCACATGTAACAGTAGATAGTCCTAGTTATGTCAGGAAAATCCTTTAAATACTTTTAAATGCTTTAGCATTTTATCAGCATGGCTCGTTTACTTTATTTCTTTATGTAGGCACAAATAAAGTTAAAATATAAATTAAATTTCTAAAAAAAGGGTTTGGTTGTTTATGACCAAATGGGTAATGTTAGGCCTGTGATCTTGGTGCATAGGTACCTAGTATGGCAGGGCTTATATCCACATAATATGGTTGCAATTTTCTGTTCAACCAGAGGTGGAATCAATATCATGGCAGTTAGCTAGACAAACAAAAATTAAACATAGCAACAGACAAGTCACTGCTGCAGCATCACTGGCAATGTCCAAACATAATATTTCTTATCATTGATACCCTAAAGTGCCAGGCAAAGCAGATCAATCTTTAAAGGGCACTTTGGGATCAAACACCAGACAGAATCAACAGTTACATATGTGAAATTGAGTTTGGGTTGGTCACTGGGACCAGAGATTCCAGAAAGCTCGGAAGAGTAAATCTCTAGTCCCAGTGACCCACCCAAATTCAATTTCACATCATTATCCTGGGACATTTGCCTTCATTTGTGAGTTATATGGTTTTTTTAAACAAATTGTGGTTCTATGTGGATGCAAAATTTTCATAAGAAATCTAGCAAATCCGAGTATTGTTGGGGGACAAGAAAACTGGGTCTTAGGTTCAAATCTAGATACTTGCTGGTTGTTGTTTTATGGTGGGGGGGAATCCTAGTACTGTATATTTAATTTGGATTGTTGTAATCTGTGGTATGTTTAATTTTACAAATTATGGTTACAGCTCTAAATGTTTGAGATGCTGCAGACAATATATTTGTATTGCTTTCTGTAAGAAGTGCTAGATTTCTCAAGAGAGAAACCATGGAGCCATATTCAGGAGGAAGAGTAGAAATATACCAATATGCAATTATCTCAAAAGGAAAGGACAATGAAATAGGAAAGAAAATGAGAAGTCAGTCCTGACTTAGTTAAAATACAAGAAACTGGTGTAATCTCTAAAACAGGTTCAATATAATGAATGGATACCCACCTCCCCTCACCCCAAAGTCATTCCACTGAAATTTAACAGCAATTATTCCTGAATTTTGGCATGATTATAACTGTTTTTCTGGACTTGAAGTGCTTTTAAGAGTTGGAATAGGAGCAGTTTGTCTTTGGGAGGGCTCTTCTCCCCTTCATTATTTTTAAATACCCCACCCTTGCTAAAGACTGAAATATCTGTATAATATCCACCCAGCTACATTTCCTCAATTATAAAGACCTTGAATGATCTCTGGTTCTTCAGAAAATCAGGAGGATGAATTGTGGCCCTATCTTAAAAGAACAAAGACCTTATAGTTCCTTTAAAAATGCAGAAAAAAAACACCAAAAGTTTAGACACTGCTGTTTACACTTTGTCTTCAATATCTCTTTAAACATTTGTGCAGCTATCATCTACCAAAAGGTTGCCCGTTCCTGATTAAGGATACTTTATAGGCTCAAGGAAACAGAAGCCTAATCTGTTAATTTTTTCAGGAACAGAAACTGGGCACACCTAGTTTATGTGTCTTGCATCTGACAGGCTCTATTAATTTGCTCATTTCCTATGCAGCAGTGATAAATAGAACACCCATCTGCCAGCTCTTGATAAAGAGCTTAAAGAATGTATTGCTAATGAGAAAGCAAATAAATGGGCCAGAACTGAGGCTGCATTTCCACAAAATAATCCCCAGTATTTATCTTGTTAGCAAGGGAGGCAGGTTTGATGAATACACTGCTGGCAGAAATTAAGGTAACAAGTCCTGTTTTGTTCTGACAGGAATCTGATCAAAATATTCATCTAAAGCACATGCTTGCTGGGGAATTGTGGGTGTTCTGTACAGTCATTAACATACTTGTAAACGCTGCGCGGTGATTGGTCAAGACGCACGGCGAGCTGATTGGCCGAGCGAGCCGCACGGATTGGCCCGCCGCGAATCTCCCGCGATTGGTGGAAACTAATCGCGGGAGATTCAAAGTGGTGCCATTGGCCGCGGCCGCCGCGGCCAAGGAATAAAAGCCGTCGCTTTTCCTTTGGACCTGAGCCGATCTCGGGAACTAAATAAAGAGCTGAAACCAAGTCACTGGCGACGAGGGTGGGATACCAAGCCTGATTCCCATCGAACACGTGTCCGGAGGAAACGAGACCGACAAGATGGCCAGCATCGCACCACCCATGCCCTTCAACCCAGCTACTGAGGATTGGGAATCGTACACCGACCGGTTCCTGATGTTCCTCGAAAGTAGCAACCTAAAGGACGCCAACGGGCAGAAGAAAAGAGCTGTCTTTCTAACACACTGCGGGCCCGCAGTGTTTAAGATGGCAAAAGCCCTCGCGAAACCCGAGGACGTGAAGACGATGGACTGGGCCGATCTCGAGCCGTTGCTCCGGAACCACTATGCCCCCGCCGTGCCCACCCTCATCAGGCGGCACGACTTCTATTGGCGAGACCAGAGAGCGGGCGAGAGCATCAGCGATTTCATGGCTGACCTACGAAATCTCGGGGGCATGTGCGGGTTTACGGA